AAATTCCCCAACTTTTCGAGATTTATGCCCGTTGCAACATTTCGCTCTTGCCGGTAGTATCAACGTCCGGAATAGACACTTTAAGATGTTAGAGTATCAAAATTATGTATCAGGAAGTTTTCCGTATGTGTTTCAGGAATTTTTCAAAACTAGCAATTCAACAAGATAAATAGAATAAAGAAGCATAAAACTTCCAAATTGTACCTTTCTTCTAATATTATAAATCGCCTATATATCATAAGCAAACAATATGAAACCTGCGCATTAGCTAATTAATCGATTTAATACCCAATAATGCTATTAATTATGCTATAGTACGCTTATGTTGATTCCTTAATTGGCACAAACCTTGCGATACCAATTACATATCGATTCAGAATAAACCTGTTACTACCACCAATAAGCAATGTCCTATATTGCACGAATATTAATCACAAAGATTAGTTCTGAAACGACATTGTAAACTTCGATATTGTCTTAAAAGCGATTCTAAATTATTCATCCGGAATAAAGAGGGTTTGATTTTTTTTTGCAAGTAAAGAACAAATAGGGTAAAAAGATTTATCAACATAAATATAATGCTTTGAAAAGATAATAAAAGACAAGCTATAAATATTTTTTGTGGTAAATGGTGCAGGAAATTGATATGGTCTGGTTTAAAAGGCATCGTTAGAGGAAACGGCACCCTGTAGATCACATGATTGAAACCATCTCCGTCTCCGGGATATTTATATACGATATTACATCGCTACTAAAAATCTTCAATAATCCGAAAGAAATGAGAAAAAATAAGCGGTACGGAAAAAATGATCACCGTTTTTGGTTTACTATTGATCTCTATTCGCTCTACATATTTGACAAACGTTTCGACTATAAAACGAGATGAGATTCGTATCAAACACTGTGTTCTATTTCCAATTAATATTCAATTACTAGTTGGTGACTCATTGTCTGCTGGTCATTGCTGCAAGCGATGCTACCACCAAAATTGCCTGTAATGGTTTTGCATTTAGAGGGGTATTATTCATTTTATGTAAAACATTAGATTACGAACTACAATTATTCGATATTGATTTATTACATTGTTGTATATGGTATTGGATATTATTTTATAAATAATTAAAAAGAAATTTTGTTAATGCAAGATAAATATAGGTACTAGTGGTACTAGTCAGGACACCTATGTGATTGCCACATTATTGCGATATATGAACAAAAATGAAGTTAATAAGAAAGCTGATAAGATACGTCAACTTATTTGGATCCAAGATACAAACTGAAATTTTTGGATGCATATTTAATAAACGATAAAGAATAATTAAAACAAGATTAAATTATCATGCCAATATTTTGCGCTAACGCATGAGTATAAAAATAAATTTTTTTTTGAACTTTTACTTAAAATTTAAATTTACTCATAACACATTGAATTAAAGAGTAAAACGCAAAAACAGTGGGAATTACAAAACAAAACATGAACAAACTAACAAAACCACTAAATAATAAATCTAGGAAAACGGAGCTAGTTACATTTATGTTTCTTATATATTGCAAAAATCAAGGAGTAAATGCTACTCAACGACTGAATATCAGTTTTAAACCTTTTTCGGTAATCAGTTTCTTTGTCAAGAATTCTTATATCATTGAAATCAAAAATGTGACCTGTGTCAATGCTGTACCTTGGTAGAAAAAGGGCCAATGTCCAAATATGGCGTTTTTGAGATAATACGTTCACGATAATGTTATGGGTTCCTACTTTTAATAGAAAAAAGGCCAAAGTTCTAAAGTGGTGGATTCTCAAGATAATCTGTTTTTAAAATGGCCAATATCCATACCACCTAGATAGAAAAAGGGCCAATGTTGGACATTGGCCCTTAATGTACTTTCGTAGCATTTCTAAGTATGTACGCAGGGGCCAATGTCCACCGCCGCAGACATTGGCCCTTGCGTACGTTTCAACTAAGGAGATTGGTCCTTATTAAAGCAATACCTAACCTCAAATTCTCATGTGTAATCTGATGTTTACAAAAACAGACAGTAGTGGTTTATATGTATGTGTAATGGTAATGTGTATAAAAAGTAAAAAATGAACAGACGGACACTTAAAATATTAGAAAAGTGTAAGCAAATTGCTGAAACTGGTAAGTTTTATTATATTAATACCTGCACGTGGAAATTTTTTACATTAGGTATATCATAACTTTAGGAAACGAAGTTAACGTAGGGATTACTTCAACAAGCTTCGATAATACATCAATCGAGGATAATAATTTAATATCTACGTTTGATCCATACACAGAAATAGATTTTGAACCAAATGAATTGTTGCCTTTAGTTCCTGTAGATTATGTAAGTATTACATAAAATTATATAATATAGTATTACATATTTTAGATTACTGAAATACAATCCAAACATACAGATTTGTGCTACGAAGAGTTGACATCGATAAATAACGTTCTTACTGATTGTGAGACCTGTGATGTACGTTTATAAGTTCTCTATAAATTAAAGCTATCTAATATTGCTGCAAAAATATTTGCTTTAGTAATGTTACATAAATTCAACCAAAGTGTTTAATTATGGAAAGTAAACGCGATTTAGTAATTTCAGACTGAGAATCTTATACTTGAAAGCCTTTCTGATAATGACAATTCTAAACAAGATCAAGACTATGTGCCTTCAGATATTACTGACGAAGATGTTGAAGAGGTGGATAACAGCAGGGAAATTAATTGCATCACAACTACTGTTAAATGTAAATTTATTCAAAACCAATTTTTCAAACCAAGCTTTTTAATATAATTTCACAATAATTATTTTTTAGACCAAAGAAACTCAAAATCAGAATGGTAATATAGGCAATAATATTGAAAACAAGGAAGAGCATCGCACAGTTGAAATCCAAAAAGGTAAGAGGGGAAGACAAAAAATTCCTGAAGAAGAAAGAACCAGAAAAAGAGTGAGTCCAAAGACGAAAGGAAAGTGAAGAAGTGCATAAAGAAAGTCGAAGAAACTTTACAAGAAAATATTATCTTTCAAATGAAGACCGGCAAAGCGTTGAAGTTTGCCAAAAAATGTACCTTAATACTTTTGATTTAACACTGAAAAAGGTAAGAGTTATAACAGAGGAAAAAAAGGAGGTCCGAGTCGAACATTTGTCCAACAGATGGTCGTGAAATGCACTCAAACCATTACAAAATTGCCGAAGAAAGAAAAGATCATATCAGGCAGCATATCAAAATGTTCCCAACGTACACTAGTCATTGTTCTCGTGAACGGACATCAAAAAGGTATCTCAGTCCCTATCTCAGTCCCTCAACTCTATGTGAAACACTGCGCTCAAAACAATATTACGCCTGAAAAGGAATCACTGTATCGAAAAATTTTCAATGAGGAATTCAATTTTTCCTTTCATACCCCTGCGAATGACACTTGCGCTAAATGTGATCAATTTAATTTGAGTTTAAAGGCACTGCAGGATAAACAACTGACCAAAGAGGAGGAAGATACTAAAACGAAACTGATACAAGAAAAGGAGATACACTTAAACTTGGCTGAGGCAGCTTATAAAGAAAAGTCGCTAGATAAAGAAAGAAAAATGTTTGCCAACGCCATACCTTAGAAATGGCGTATCATTTTACAAAAGACAACTATGAACGTTCAATTTAACAGTTTTTCAAACAAATACTTCGGGACATTCCGGAATATGCTTTCTTTGGGATGAGACAATAGCAGGTCGTGGTGGTCAAGAAATAGCGTCCTGCATAAGGTCCTTTATATTGTCGTTACCCGAAAAAGTTAAATCACTTCATTTGTACAGCGACTCTTGTACAGGCCAAAACAGAAACATTTCACAATAATATGTTTAGTATTAAACGAGCTAAAACAACAAAACAGAAATCTGCAGGAAATACACCACAAATTCATGGAACCCGGTCATTCGCATATGGAAGCTGACACAATTCATGCAGCTATTGAATCGGCCAAAAAGAAAACCACCTCTGAAATAGAAGTACCTCATGATTGGAACAATTTTATACGAAGTGTACGGAGAAATCCGCCTTTACAAGTTGTTGAAATGCTACAAAGTAAGTTTCTTAATTTCAATAGCTATAACGCCGTTACGTACCGGAATCAACAAAAAAATTTTTGACCAAGATGGTTTTCCCTTAACCCTTCCGTGCCAACCCAAAAAAATGAAAACACCGCCGAACCTCAACTAGCACAGTGAAGACGGGGAGGTTCGTTAATTTATATCTGGCGCCACGTAATTTATTACAGCGATGTCCATCAATTACGAAATGTAGATGTTCAGGAATAGGAATAGGCACACAAGGATCACATGTACAAAATTTCTATAAAACACCTGATATTACAAAAAAAAAATAATTTGGTTTATTAAAAACAAAAATTGAATTGTAGAAAGAAATTGAATAATAAAAAAAATGATGATTCGAAAATATAAACTAAAGTATTATAACTTATAACTCAAATTTAAATAAATGGGAAACCCACTGTTTTGGGAGACGTTAAAATTAACTTTAAAATGAAAATAAAAAAAAACTGTAGAAAATATTCGGTAATAAAAAAAAATTCAACAAAAGGAAATTGAAACAAATTGATCCCGATACGTTTTGTATAAAGTACAAGCTTGTCTTTTGAAACGTAGTAAAACCAAAAAAAATTCGACGAGAAAAAAAAAAAAAAAAAATCACCCCAAAATTTAGATTTTACCCTTACAATCTGCAATAATTTATTTGCAAGGTAAGTAAAATTTTTAAATGTTTATAGTAAATTCTCAAATGTAAGTATTATTAACTTTTTTTTTATAGCGATTCAACACATTAATGAACACAAAATAACTTTACATATACGTTCTGACCTTGATACGGGTAAGATTCTTCTTTATGCAGCGATTCCTCTGGAGAGGGAAAGTATTCGGAGTTGGCAGAGGGGAGGCACTCCACCATACAATTATATTATTTGATTTTTTTTTTTTTTGGAATGGAAAAATCCCAACGTAAAAATCCAAAGAAACTATTCCCGGAATAATAATATCCCAAAATAGGAGGCCTAAAAATTAGTAAATGGACGATACAAAAAAATTAGAAAAGGAGAAGAAAGAGAAGAAAGAAAAAGAATTGTTAAATTATTAAGTTAAACAAATTTTTTTTTTTTTTTTGAATTATCAAATATTATAAGTATTGATTGTGTCTGAATAAATGATTGAATGATTAAATTTCTATTAAATTACTATCACATACCTCAGATGTTAAAGGCCTCGCACGTGTGAAAAGTAAATCGACTCAAAACGCAAAATAGCCGGGTTAACCGTAAGAAAGAACTTAAACTTGTTCTCAAATAAATTGTCGATGTGATGATCCCGATTAATTCGGATGCGTTAAATCAAATTATGACCAAATGAATCACTCAAAATGTCAACCAAAACGCCTACACAACGACGCTACACGTTGAGTCTCGTGCCACCAAAAAGAGTGAGACTTCCTCTTCGAAAACCTAAATCCAATTAAAAAAAAAAAACTCGACCTGCGCGCAATAACTTTTCCGTATGAAATTTAAAATAAGTAAAGAATTAAGAAAATGACATCTATTAAAGAGAAGGCGAAATATAAGAAAAGAATAGAAAGAAAAGAAAATTTATAATGATAATTCCGTACAAATGAAGGAATAATAGGAAGGGAAAAAAGGATCTCCAGATTCTGTCGCTTAAAAAAAATTACAATATAAAAAAATTTACAAGTAACATAAATACAAAACATTGGAATAAATTAGACTGTAACATAGCTTATTGAACAATGAATTAGTTCACCGCAAAAAAAATGAAGATGGTGAAAATGTTTCCTGGCTGAAAATAAAGTGGTTGAAGTTCACCCAAGACCAGGAATTTCAGTTTTTTTACAAAATCAGTTTTGCAGAAGAAGAAGAGGTCAAACGAGTGGACCTGAGAAGAGGCAGTTTAAGAAAGCGACAAATTGACATGGATGTTAACATTCCAAGTCCTCTTAATGTAGAGCCTTTGGCACTTCCCACTAACAAAATTAGCACTTTGTAAGATCTTCTTCCTTATATCAGTGAATATAATAAGCCGTTTTATCAAAATGTAAAGGAATCTGACTCTGATGGCTTTGCAGATGAAATTTAAAAGTTATGTTATGATCCTGTACTTTATTATACACCTTTATTTCCAAACTTTTAGGGCCAATGTCCGCAGTCAGTAAATGTGCTCAGGGCTAATGTCCATTGCTTTCTAAAATAAAAAGGAATATTCACAAAAGTATAGCATAATATGAAACTACCTATTATTAGCTACTTCTGTTTAAAAAATCAAATTGTTAATACAAATCTCACACTTTTCAATCTAGTTTCAAAGCGCTGCCCAACTCTATTCTTTATTTCTGGAAAACAGCCGAACTGGACATTGGCCCTTTTTCTATCAAGGTACAGATTATGGTATGTTGAGCAAAAGCACAACCCCTCGTGTTGCTTTTTATATCACTTTTGAGTTTGCTAAGACGTTTCTTGAGCCATTGGTTAGTCTGTCCCACATAACACCCTTCGCATACTCGACATGGCACACAATAAATGACACTAGATTGATAATCCTTATTTATTTTGTCTTTCAACAATGTAAAGTAAGATTCCAGATTAAAAGGGTAGTGTTCTACTATCTTTATATCATGCTCCTGAAAAATCTGGAATAATTTTTCTGTAATCACAGGAACAAAGATAAGTTTTCTATACTTAAAAGAGGCAGACTGATCGAGATTGTCATTCACTTGAGGGGAGACATTGAAAATTAATTTACTGAGTAACCTGTTAGGGTAATTGTTTTCCAGAAAAATATTATTTATGTTCAGCTCGCTTATGTTGAAGCTATTGTCCTGATAGATGATAGTTCTACATCAGAGGTTCACCGCTGCCTACGCGAACCTTGGGTTATTTCCCATCCTTATGGCAGAAACCATTGCCCTATCCTTAGCTTTCTTGTCCAAACCTATAATTTCTTTGTCAATATGCCTTACCCATTTCCAGCCCGCATGGCCATCGTGGAAGAATATGGCCAAATACTCCACAAGTGGAGAATTTTGAAAACTAAGGATATGGTCCTCATGTAGGCCACTCCCAACCCTCCACAAACAGCTGCTAATTGGACGTGTGGGATTCAAAATTCGCTACTTAGACCACAACACAACTTATATGTATATAGCTTCCTATAATACCAGAACTCTACTAGCGGATCAAAAACTACTAGGAAATAAATAAGAGCTCCGAAACATAAAATGGGACATCGTGGATCTCAGCCTGAGCGAGGTGCAATGCAAGTCAATTAACGCCAAAGTCAGGACACTTATCCCTTCTACCGGATATTGCGGCTAAATTCCAGATATAATCTAAAGGTTATAAAGACTTACGCTCGTATGATTCATCATCTTTCAATATCTAAAAACACTAATCTGGAAATCGATCGAATACAAAAAAACCGTTAGAGTAGTTGTTCGTCGAATACGAAAAGGCAATCGATAACATCAACAAGCAGGAAATGTTGAAATTCCTAGTTGACTCTAGTATAGATTATCGATCATACACTTACATGAGAACACTACAGCTCGTGCTAGGCTTCATGAAGATACTAACAACTTCAACATAGAAAAAGGTATTCGTTAAGGTAAAATTATTTAACAATTTGCTTCAGTGGGACAACGTAGGTATAAACATAAATAACGAAAATCTGAACCAATTCCGAATTGCAAACGACATTGTTTTCACGCTGCATGAAAAAGCCCAGGCAAAGAGTTGTTGCAAAGCTTAAACACGGCCTCTGAACGAATGGGATTGAAAATCGACATCTCAAAAACTCAAGTGATGACAAACCTTTCTGTAGTAATCGGCGGTGAAATATATAAGTACCTTTGTCGCGAAATACGTATAAGCCGCGACAACCAAGTCGCATATAGAAGACTTAAATGCGTTTTCAAAAGTGCACTTCCGATATGTTTGAAAAGAAAAACATTCAATCACCGTGTACTTGTTTTGACTACAGCGAACAAAATTAGAATCTCATAAAGAGTAATAGAAAGATCAATGTTCTACTTTATCTCTGAGAGACAAAGTGCTGAATGCCGAAGTACGAGACAGAAGAAAAGTCACGGATGCCATAGAAAGAATAACTACTTTGAAGTGAAAGGCTAAACGATGATCAATGGATCAAGGAAATTATGGAATGGAGACTATGAAAGGAACAGAGACCACCTTCCAACCGAGGAGCATGGCGATTTAAGACGTATTCACACTAACTGTATGTAAATTTTTCAGGATAGGGAGTTATGAAAGCAACCAAGAAAGGTCTACGACCTGCAGTGGACTTTTGGGCAGTGGTGCCCAACCTTCTTTTGTACGCGGGCCACATTGGTTCAAGGTATATATTGCGCGGGCCAAAATCTATATTCTACTAGTACATGAGCTACAGGTCCCGTGGGTCACATAAGATGTTCTCGCGGGCCGTAGGTTGGACAACCCTGCTTTAGAGGCTTCGTGATGTTCAGCTCTTCTCTAGACAAGGGAAATAATATAAGTATAACAGCGTAGATTCGAAAAGAAATTGGGTTAAGAGTCTCTAACCCAATTTCTGAGAGATGATAAAGTGAGAGAAGACTAGTATAATACGACTTAATTTAGAGTGATACTAAAATATATATAAATATGAAACAATGTTTGATTACCTTCTCTCTGTTTTATCTTAAAACTTATCTGCGTTACTAAAAATAATAAAATAATAAGCTTAATAACAGAAAAGTAGTTCGATTACTATTTTCTTCTAGTTTCTACTAGAATAGAAATTATTCATACAATTCGAAATTGTAATATACACGAACAATGTTTGTACACTAATTTGTTATTTAAGTTTTCAGGTGGTGGATAGAGTTCGTTAATCTATTACGTTTCGCAAACGGGCAATTGTAGAACAAATACTTCGTAAATTGTAATCCAGGTCTTTGTGGTGGTTAGATGTACCGCATGTGGGTCACCGTGTAATAAAATTTTAGTCCGTGCATCTGAGAATTTCAATGGCCCGCAATAGCTCACGTGTCGGTATGCCAACGAAGTATCCCATTCCACGTTCTTGTCCACTAAAGCTTCGTCTGCGAGATCTCTCGTCCAGAATACAAAGCACCTGCACCAGGCCACCCTCTTCCTCACGTTCACTTCTCAGTCTATTCCAAGCTAACTACAAATCTAATTGCGTCGAGTTAATAAGATGAAAATCTTTTTGTGTACATTAGTTTATTTTATTTAGAGAAGAAATTTGAATAAAAAGTTTTAGTTGCAAATTTCCGATATGTACAATATCTCGGCATGGATCCAGATTCAATATCTTGAATTTCGTGCGCAAGCAAAAATGTTACTTCCTCGTATAGGGTATACAACCGGATGGGCAATAAGAGAGTCGTAACATTGTATTGGAGTTCAATTTTTATTTGTTAGTCCCAATACTATTTAAAGTTAGATTTTATAAAATCTCAATATTCCGATGAAAATAATGGATTAAATGTCTATACCTTAAAGGTCGTATTATACTAATCATTCAGATCAAACTCAGCCCATCTTAATTACGGTGACACTTGAATCTTGCAAAGTAACTGATTTGGTCGTTCGTTTCAATCCGTTGAGAATCAATCAAGTGGTCCAAATAAATGGAAGTCCGTGAGGAAACGGAACTTCGCCTGATTAAAGCACCCCTCGGTAATTAAAATAAAAGACACTGGGAGGCACAATAGGTGGGCAATTTATCGGGAGTTGCGAGGGACCGTTGATCACCCCTTTTCAACTTCGGGGTCTTAGCGCCTGTCGCTTTTATCTCCTGACATGAAATTTTGAAATCTTTGGAGACTATAATGGTGTATAACGAATCTGAACAGCACCGTAATTGGATAATTGTTTGTGAAACAAACGCCCTGCGGTTCTTCACACGTTATAACTGCGTTCTTGTCACAGTGATTGAACATGTATAGTCTATTCAGTACACCGTGAGTAATAAAATACCATTGTAATGGTTGTTTGTAGCGTTGTGTATCGTGGAATATCGTTGAAAATTAATTAAGCATCGAATCGGCTAGTAACGTCACAAACTCTGCCGCCTCCTACGTCATTACTAGCGACGATTGCTTTCATCAATTAAACGCTTATTAATTACAGGGTTCGGTCGACCCTGTAACGTACGAACCGTACAGCTCTCGCTATATCTGTTTGTAAAATCGGACATTCTGCGTGGTTTCGATCGTGTAAATTGCTGCTACGCTGCGGCCGCAAATTGCAGACGGTCACTTGTCAGCAACTATCGTAATGGAGGACACAATTGCCGGCGTATTGGGGTGCTCATCCATAAGTGTTTTGTATCAACTGCCACTGATAAATTGATTCTATCAATTCGGCGTAACAAGAGAACAATTTTAAGCAAAGTACTCCACTTTTAATTTAAGTTTAGGTCATTTCCAATGAAAGGGCTGAAAACGAGATGGGTATAACATGCCGTGAAGTCGTTAATATTGGTTATTTAGCCCATCCCTCTCCTATGTGCCTCTCATTTGCCTGGTTGATGTCGAGAGGTGACGCCACACGGCAAAGCCAACGGATGGCGACAATAAACGTGCCCATATATCAGGCGGCGCGTGTGAGATACGGTTCCACATTCGACTCCATATGGTCCTCGTGCAGCCCTCGCTTACTAAGTCGGAAGTGGACCCAGCGGTTT